AAACTGCAGGCTTCAGGAAAACCCCGGGAACAGAAACTGAAGAGGGCAGTAGACCCCAGTCCTGCCCAGTCTTGGAAGTCTGTCAGGAGGCAGAACCTCTGCGGAGTACAACCTGCACACACATGGATGACAGGAGGCATGGGCAGAGAAGGCAGGCTCACTCTAGAACCAGGCACAAAAGCAGCTCCCCATAGCCAGTGGTGACTACCCCCGGCACAAGCTCCACCCTGTAGCCTCCAGCCATGCACAGAGCCCTGGCACCCTCTAGTGTCATCCAGCCCAACTGCAGAAGCCAGCACAAGCTGAGCTTCCTTCCCCTGGGCTGGCATCAGGGCACACGATCTCTACTGTGAGGTGTATATGCCTCCACAGATGCCAAAATACACATCACATTTCTGTTCACAAGCGCCTTTATCACTGAAACAGCAACTCCCAAATTGTTCATAGAATACCAGATTTTTTTGTTTTATTTTGTTTTTGAGACAGGGTCTCAGGTATCACAGGCTATCCTCAATCTTTGATAAGTAGCTGAGCATGACCTTGAACTTCTGATTCTTCTGCCTCTACCTACTAAGTGCTAGAATTACAGGCCTATGCCACAGCATCACACCCAGTTTGTGTGGTGCTGGGGCTTTTATCCAGAGTGTTGTGCATGTTAGAAAAGCACTCTACCAACTGAGTTATAGCCTCTACTTGTCCACTCTCCCACCACCCCCCGACTCTGCCCCACCCCACCCCTGCCATTACTAAGTTGAGAAATTTTTCCAGAAGCTACTGGTAGTTGTGCTCACAGAGACTGTTCACAGAGCACAATCCCTCCGCTGGGCAGTGGGGGAAGCTCATCTCTGATGCATTTTGGGTAAACCACCTGTCACACCCTCTGCCCATTTCTATTTTAGTCTTTTATTTATTGTGCTGTCAGATCCCCTGGAACTGGAGTTACAGACAGTTGTTAGCTGCCATGTGGGTGCTGGGATTCGAACTTGGGTCTTCTGCAAGAACAGCCAGTGTTCTTAACCGCTGAGCCATCTCTGCAGCCCTGTTTTTAAGATTTTTAATTTATTTGTGTGTGTGTGTGTGTGTGTGTGTGTGTGTGTGTGTGTGTGTGTGACAGGGTCTCACTATGTAGCTCTGGCTAGCCTAGAACTTGCTATGTAGACCAGGACAGCTTCAAACTCTAGGAGCTCTGCCTGCCTCTGCCTTAGCAGTGCAGGTGTCCACCCTCTGCTGTAACAATGGCTATTTCCATCCATTCAAATTTTAGTTATTATTTTTCTGCTATAATCAAGCTCTGGAATCATACTTAGATGTCTAGTTGTGCTCTTAACCGCTGAGCCATCTCTCCAGCCCCAGAAATATTTTAAAATTTTTACATATGTTTAGAGAAAACTGGGGAACGCAGAAAGGCTGCTAGTAAAAATGAACACCTGGCATGGTACACTGAATGTACTGAGCTTAAGTGAACAAGGAACACATGACCCTCTCCAACATCACACACAGTGCAGGAGGCAGTACCATGCTGGATAAGGAAACAGCAGCCCACAGGGTGAGTGAGTGACGGGGCTACCTTCAGTTTTCCCTGAAAACTTCTGTGGTCCTGCCTGCATCAATCTAGTAATAAAGCAGTAAAGCGTGCAGAAGACTGTGGTTCAGGGTCCAGGCTAACTTCTAGCCTACTCCTGAGAAAGGGCTCCTGGGTAAGAAGTGCATGTGACATGAGATCACAGGTCCTGTTTGGGAGGGAGGAGCCCTTAAGCTTTCATCCTGGAGCTGGTCTGTCCAGAGATCAAGTGGCAGAGTCACTGTTGTTCAGCAGAGAACCACGGGCAAGGGACCCATGGCAGCAGGAAGGGCCCAGGGACCCTACCTGTACCCCGACCTGAAAAGCCCCACGCGGCACCTTCCGTCACTCTCCTAGGACATTCCTATGGCAAACATTTCCACGGTTTCATTTTTTTCTCAAGGCAACAAACCATTGTTTTGGTTGGATGAACAATGGCAGTGGAGAACGTCAAGTGGTAGAAGAACTCGGTGACAGGCCCAGGAGACCCCAGCCCTGCTGCAGGCCTAGGAAACCCCAGCCATGCTGCAGACAAGTCCCACCAGGCATCACTGACAATGGGTTTGGGTGGGACATCAGTGGTGCTGTTTCAGACAAGTTGCACCAGAACTCAGTGACAAAGGCCCATCAGCAAGGCCCTGCTGCAGACTTGGCCACAAAGTGCCCTGGTAGAAACCAGTAAACATGAGTCTTCGGGGCTGTCTTAAGGCCTGGATCAGCCATGGAGGAGAGATCAGCTTGACTTCAAGGTACAAACATACCACCCTGAAAAGGAACCAAGGCTGGGCACACCACAAGCCCATGACAGGCCACACAGAAAAAGACGTCATTGCTCTGTGAGTATCCCTATCTTTAATGCAAACTTCTAACTAAACTCAAGGAAGCAACAGGCAAATCCAGATCAAGACACAATTGACAAAATACCTGCTTAGCACTATCCCAAGGCACCAGATCAGGAAAGGTACACAGAACTGCCTCGCCAGAGCACACTGGAGGACATAAGGGCTAGGTGCCACAGGAACCCCACCTGATGAGGGTGTCTGTGGAGAAGCTGATGAGGTGCAGTCCTCCCTTAGGTTCCCTATTACACTAGCAGGCATTCCTATTCTGAGTGTTACTCTGTTGTCTGAGAAGACACCAACATCAGGAGGGCAGTAAGGGAGATATGGAACTCTGCATTGATTGCAGAACTTTCTGATAAGTTCTAAAAATAATATTTTTTTTTTTAAAAAGCTTTGAATCGTGCATACTGACCACCTGCAGTCCAGCACAGCTGGGTCAGGGAGTCAGGGCAGCCCAAGCGAGGCTTTGGTAACCTTCCTCAGCTAAGGGGCCATGGAGGTAACCACTGAATTTCTTGGCACAGGGAACATTTCTTAGAAAGAACGCAGGAAAAGCCTGTGACCAGCTAAAAAAGTGCTCTGCCTACCCAGGCTTTAGTACAGAGGATGCCAGACAAGTCCTGCTGGAACAGCCAGCTCCCTGGTGCCTGCCTGCTTCTGTGACCCACGGAACCAGGACCAACAAATGAACTGAGAGGAATTCAGAGAGGGCAATGCACCTGGATATTCTGTGCTATACAACCTGAGAGCCAGAGATCCCAGGGTCAGTGACAGGTCGCGAGGCCACTGCTTAGGTAACTGGCTCCTAAGGCAAGGATGAGAGTTACAGGACAGTGCCCACAGACACGGCTAAACTCAAGTGTTGTTTAAATTCTCATTTCCATCTTTTCTCCCCATTTCCCTCCCTTCCCTCTCAGAGCACCTAATCCTTCAGGTGGAATCTGCAGTCAGCAGGCCGAAGGCAGCCTCAAAGGCCGGGGCCTGCACACAGGAGACTAAGCTTCAGTGCCTATGGGGGGGGGTGCAGCACCACTGACTTACAGGTCTGGCCCAGGCCTTGTATGTGAGCCCCACCCTGCTCACATGCGGGACCAGAGCCGCTCCACGTGCCACACACCACGCTCCTGTGAGAGGCTGGAATGTGCTGAGCACCCTCCACTTTCTCATCAGCTGTTGTCTGTTCTCTCTACTCTTGCAAAGCTCTTTTGTCTCCGGAGAAGAAGCACAATCACAAGTCACGAGCTGAAAGCTGCAACCAGTAAAGAAAGTTCGCGAGGTTTCCTACCTGCTGCTTCCAGCTTTGCAAAACCATCTCTCCTTTACCTGTCCCTAGAGAGGAAGCAGGGGCAGGAGTGACGCTTACCCTTCCATTCAGTTGGGATTCCTCCACACACTTTGGGCAGAGGCTGCTGCAGTAGATTCCAACAGAGATCCTGTGCACGCCAGGGTATGCTGCTTGTCACTGGCCGACACCTGGCTGAGGCAGCTGGCCCCCCCGAGTCCCAGTGCCCAAGGAGGACCCAGCAAGCTTGTAAGTGCTACATCACAGGCCTTCGGCTGCTGTTCAGGGTCTCAGCCAGACTTCTGCTGGACATTTGCCTTTCCCATTAAAGAATACACACTCTCTAGGGCTGGAGGGATAGCTCAGTCTTTAAAGGCTCAGGATAACAACCAAAAAATTCAAGAACGCACACTCTTTCTTTCCCCAGCCCCCAAAGGAGCAGGTGAGCTCCCAAAGGTGCAGAATGTTCACAGCGCCCATTTTGGTGGGGATGGGATGAGGCTTTGCCACATTAAAGCCACCTCTGCTGCCCCCAGCCCACCTGCCTGTCAGAACCAACTCCAGCCATCAGTTCCAGTGGTTAGTGCCCCAACATCTGTCCCATATTCATCTCTTCTTGACCTCCTCGGAGATACCTGTGCTATGGCCCATGCTCAAACCACCACCCCCCTTAGCCTGTGCCTCCCCAATTCTCCTTTCTCTTCTGGGCTCTATTTCCTGTGTAGGTGCTTTAGAACTGGCAGGGTCCTCTAGGGACCTGGGTGGTATAGGGGTTGGGTGCTCCTCTGCACCTCCTCCCAGGGGAATCTGTGTCCTCAGCTGCCTAGATGATCCCAGTCCCAGTGCTCAGGCATACCCTACCCTCTACTTAGCTCCTGGACAAGGGACTCCACTTACTCTGCCATCTCTCTATCACAGGGGGACAGGAGGGACATGCTCAACCCATAGAAAGGAAGAGAGGAATGATCCTAATTGGGAGACACAACGGAGACCCTGGGAGCTGTCCCCAGGGCATAGAGCCTCATGGCTGCTCAGCAAGGAGGTACAGGACAGTGGCTAAGGCAGGACAATAAAGACAATTTACCCATTCTTTGTATTCAGGGCATTTCCTTCAACAAAGGGGAGAGACCTGCTGTGGAAGAAGATGGGCAACTACAGTGTGTCTGGTGCAGCGCCAGCCATGTGTCCCACAGATGCTGCCTGCCTCTGAGCAGTCTGTCCCAGTCAGGCAGGTCCAGAGAAACAGACAGACTCCCTGCTGGCGGCCTCAGGAGGTTTCTTCACAGCCAGACTTCAGATGGGAGGGTTGGGAGGCTACAGGGAGCACAGGCATCTGTGCTTGGCATGGCTAGGACCCCAGGATCCTGGCAGGACAGGGAAGGAACAGCACGTAGCACTGAACCAGAGAAGTTAGTCAACGGGCAGCATGTGGGATGTGACCAGGCAGTCACAGAGGGTCCAAGGACACAGAGAGTCTGCTCTTGCTTTCCCCAACTCCATACTTGACCCTGGGGACTCCCCATTGGCCAAATCCAACCAGAAGGCTTGGGACCCTGGGGCACTGTGGATGCAGTCCATGCTGGCTGCCTGCGGGAGGCCCAGAGCAGGACACAGCTGGGTTGTCAACAGAGCTGTAAGGCAGAGGTGAACAGACACTGAGAATGGGGTCGTGGAGAGGGAGACAGTTTGGCCACATGAACCCGAGGGTAGGGAGGGCATGAGGGTGTGTCTCTGTGCCAGATGACCTGCCACTTCTGAACAGTATTCCTTAGGTATAACGGAAGGCTCAGGGATGGGCAGGGGAGGAGGAAGGGGCACAGGGGGCTGAGAATGCAGGCAAGCGTGGAGAGAAGGCAGGGGTAAGTTACTCAGACGGTTCCCATGAGCTGTGCCAGCCTCACAAGAAGACCCCAGAGCTACCAAGAAAGAGGCTAGGGCCTTCAGAGAGTCACATACTATGGGAAATGTGGGAGGCCTTCCAAATGAGGGAAGCTGTCCCAGCCTGGCCAGGAGGACAGAAGTCCACCAGCATGGCTGGTCATGGAGCCTGGTCCCCCAGCCCACCCCAGACCTACCTCCTCCTCTGCTCCATTGCATCTGTTTCTCCCGCAGCTCTTGGAGCATGGCCACACGACTGTCCTCAAGCCTTTTTGTTTGGATTGTGGTTTGGTACGATGAGGGGAGGTCTGGAAAGATGCCTTTGAAGGAGGTGGTCTTCCTTCTAAAACCACAAAATGTTTTTAGCTGAAAATGAAATGTAACCCAGTGATCGCTTTCATTGGTGAGAGATACAGTGCTGAAGATTTGAAAATGTAAAAAGCAGAGTAACCTGGATTGTAGTATGAGACCCTGTCTGAAAACAAAAACAAAAACCAAAGTAGTGCATGCATGGCACATGCCTTTACTCCTACCATGAGCAGCAGAGGCAGGCAAATCTTTGTGAGATTGAGGCCAGCCTGGTCTACATAGTGAGATCCAAAAAACTGGGGCTACAGAGAGACCCTGACTCAAGAAACAAAATGAAACAAAAAATCCCAAAACCAACCCTCCCAAAACTTGAATGAACAACAACAACAAAACCTTTAAAGCGGGCCTGGGGGGTCTGCTGCACACGGAAGCAGTCACTGGTCACCGGCTGCAGCAACCCAGCGACTGGGAAGCCCCAAGTACTGTTCATGTCAAATTGAGGGTGCTGTCCTCCAGCTAACAACCACTGGCCACCAGCTACCTAGGCAGTAGAAGTCCATGGGAAAGGACACCCTTATGTCATTCCCAGGAGTTGGCACAGCATCAGCGTGGATCCAGAGGGAGTGCAGCCGCACACTGCCCCAACCCCCCTAGCCACATCAGTCTCCAGGGCTGAGGTCTGGTATCTGTGTCTAACTCCACGGCAAACTTGTGAAGTGCTGTGAGTGAATGTACTGGTCCCAGTATATTCTAGGCTGGGCTAAACCCTCATTATAGTTCATCACAGTAAGTGAAAGGGGAAGTTTCTAAATAGCAGGGTAGAATACTGCTGCTCTCTGTGTGGGACTGCATGCTGAGAACATACCAGAACTCCCAGGGCCACTGAGGACACATGCCATGGTGTGTGGTGCTAGCCCTTCTGGCTGTAACCTGTCAGGAATGCTTCATGGTTTGGATTTTTTAAAAAATATTCAAATCCAGGGGCTGGAGCGATGGCTCAGTGGGTAAAGTGCTTGCTGAATAAGCCTGAGGACCCGAGGTTGGCTCCCCAGCATCACAACAGAGCCAGGCATAGTGGTACATACCTGGAACTCCAGCACTGGGGTTGGGAGCCAGAGACAAGTAGACTGGGAGAGGAGGGACTTGTTGGCCAGTGAGTCTAGCTTAAACATCAAGCTCCAGTTTCAGTGAGAGACCCTGTCTCAAAAATCAGGGTGGAGGAGCAATAGAGGATATTGACATCAGTCTCTGGCATCCACATGCTCATGCAAGCACACCTACACAAGTGCACATACATGCATACAGCACACACATACACACACACACACATGTAATAATAAAATATTTTCACAGTGTTCAAAACCACAGGGTGACTGAAAGATCCAGCCTTCTTTTCCTGTACTGTGCAGATGTCTGTGCATCATCGTCAGACTGCTCCTAGCTCCTGTGGACATCTTCCCAAATGCCCCCAAGTTTCAAACCATAGGCCACTGTCAGCTCTGTGATGCTGTCATCCCCAAGAACTCATTACTATCCCCTTGGCTATGAGGACACAGAGGTGTTTGATGTGGACTCAGCACATTCTCTTTCTCTACATATTTATATACACTGATCCCTACACAGCAACATATCCTCAACCATGCACACTGCTTGTATGCAAACTCCATGTGGCCTACTCTACCAAGCCCATTCTGCAATGCTGGTCTATTCTAGTCCTACAGGCAGGACTGATTCAACACACCATCAATGACTATGACACAGATAGTGCTTCAGAGCATGGACCTTGTGCTTCACAAGGTCACTACATCACTTTACAGCTCTGCAGAGGTCAGGCAAGTCAGCTCCTGTGCTGTCTTTACCTGAGCACAGGCACTGGCTTCCAGTGCCCTCTCTCCTTGGTGTTCAGTGCTGCCCTGAGATTTGGAGGCAGCTCGACAGCCAAGAGTTTCTTCTCTAGAACCTCCACTTTCTCGTTCTCCACGATCTCCTGTCTCAGCTTCCAGAAGTGCTTGATCTCGTCCTCACTGGGCCAGTGATCAGAGGAGTCACTGGACTTGCAGAGCTCACTCGGGTCCAGTTTCTTGACAGGTGGGAAGAAGTCAGCCTTTTGCTTTATCACAGCCGCCTGTGAGACTGGGAGACTGAGGCCTCCTTCACTAGACACCATCCTGGGGCAGAGCCGGCACAGGGTATGGAAGGTCACTGAGGCTTATCTTCTTAGCCACTGAGACTTCTGGTGGGGTAAAATGGCACTTTAGTGGCTATGGGGGCACATCCTTACCTGTCAGCTGGTCTAGATTTAGAACTGCTTAGGAAACACACCTTTGAGCCTATCTGTGAGGGCTTTTCCAGAGAGACTTAACTCAAGAGGGAAGAACTACCCTGAATGTGAGCAGAACCATCCCATGGGCTGGGGACCCAAGTTGAATAAAAAAGGAGAAAAACTGAGCACCAGCACCCATGTCTCCCTGCTTCCTGCCTGCAGACGTGTTGCAGCCAGCTGCTGCATGCTCCCGCTGCCAGGACTCCCCTGTCAAGATGAACCGTATCTTCTCAAACCACAAGCCCGAACAAGCCCTCCTTGAAGGTGTGTTTTTCAGGTATTTTGTCACAGCAACATGAAAAGTGAATAATACAGTGGCCTGCAAGTCAATACTGCCTTCCAAGATCAATGAACAGATGGGCCACAGGCTTTGCTTCTGTGCGGAGGTGCCTGGAAGGTGGGAGGGCATCTGCTCAGGTCAGGGCTTGCTCTACCCCTCAGATGGCCATAGACCCACAATAGCTGCTGGGCAGAGGATGGACACACTGCCTGAAGAGCCCTGACAGCCTCACACTTTTCCACTGAGGGTACCCCATGCATGTATGTACAAGACAATTTTACCATCATAAGGAGTATTTCTCCCCCCCTCCCCCAAGATCTCTTGAATCTTTATTTCCAGTTACAGCTAGCCCATTTACCTGCCATTCTTTGACAATGCTTTGCTGACTTTTTAAAGATTTTAGTTCAGTGTAAACTATTGAGAGAAAATTGGTCCAAAGTGTGTTCACTGCTGTACTCAGTGTTGGGAGTCTGTGTGGCTCCCATCAAGCAGGGGCTCAGGCTTCAAACCTGCCCCCAGGCAGTCAAGGTCTCAGTGCCAGAAGGCAGGATGCCTAGGGCTGGGTGGGAGCCAAGAGATGGGGTCAGGGAGAGTGTCCCCGCTGCCATCTTACACCATCTGACTTAAAACAATTCTTTATGTGTACAAGTATTTTGACTACATATATGTAAGTGCACCCATGCATGCAAAGACTGCGGAGGCCAGAAGAGGCTGTTAGATTTCCTGAAACTGGTGTTATGGACAGTTGTTAGCTACCATATGGGTGCTGGGAACTGAACCCAGGTCCTCTGAAGAGCAGTATGTGTTCTTAACCACTGAACCAGCTCTCTAGCTCCCACCCTCTGACTTTAAATGCTAAACAGCTTGATGGCTCTGACCCCTTCTTCCCTGCTTCTGTGTGTCTGCCCTGATAAAACACATCAATGTAAACATGACTTCCAGTCACGGTCTTCTGCCACGCTCAGACCACAAAATGCCACAGTGTACCAGACATCCCCAGAGCCAGTAGTGTCATGCCAACTTCTGTTATCCTACCATAGCTGCCCCTTGCTAGCCGTCCCTGATACCTTTGTATCATTTCCTAGCCTTGTATCTAATCCAGGATTGCATGGTAGACTCAGCTCCTGTGCATTTGGTCTCCTCAGCTTGGAGCAGACCCTCAACTTTTCCTTTCTTTCATAGCAATCTCCCTTCTGAATAGCACAGACACCTTCCAGAATGTTCTTTCATTGGCATCTGCCAGGCATGTTCCTAGGACACTGCACCAGGAGCCCCTCACTGCTGCTCTAAGGCCTGCACCTAACCTGTCCTCGAATAGCACAGTGGTCGCTGTGTCCAGACCCTCAGTCCTGCCTCTCCTCAGTGATCCAGTCTTCTGCTACCTCCCCCTGCCAGGCACCTAGTACTCTCTCTTCCCAGTCCCTCTCTTTCTTTTCCTCCCCTTTGAATGGTCAACCATTTTGGCAAACTGGAACAATTTAGTGGGTACCCACCAACAAGGGGAACATAGTTATTAGGCTAGTTTCTGGTACCAGGTACACACGGGATCAGAGCTTTTCTATAGCTGTCTCGTAGAGTACAAGGGCCTCTCAAAGCAGCGGGTTACTGGTGGCTCGGAGGTGACGACTCCCCCATTTATCGTATCTCATGGAGCTTTCATCACATCCACCTAGACGGATTCTGTACTGCTCAGCATGGGTGGGAACCCACAAAAAGAGCCAGGGCCAGGCACGGTGCCTGGGTCAGCGTAGGGACTGGCATTTACCATGTGACCCCACAAAGAATGAGCGTGTCTCCATGATGCCGACTGGAGACTCAGCTCTGCTGGGTTATGATCTGCTCTTCCAGTTTGCATCTAGCCTGTCATAAAAAGTCATCTACAGACCCTGAGCAGCCTCGTCTCCAGGGAAAGAGTTGTCCACTGAGCAGATACGTAGGAAGGTCAGGATGGCTACCAAGCCTTTCTGAACGATCAGCTGAGGAGGGAATTCCAGGGGGCAGTGTCTCAGGTTCAGAGCCTTCAGTGTGGTGACGTGCCCTGCCCTGGAGGGGAGGAACTTCAGTACTTAGTACACTATGGAGGGAGGGCAGGGGGACCCAGGAAGGAGAGGAGAGCAACTGTTCACAGTGTAAACCTATTTGGAGTAGAGGAGAGGACAGCTGCCTGGGGCTTGTTCTTAAATACTTCTTAGGTGGCGTCAGCAGGATGGCTCAGCAGGTAACAATGTTTGTCACCAAGCATCATTATGACCTCTGTTCCATCCCTGTAACCCATATGGTGAAGAGAACCAACTACTGTAAGTTGGCCTCTGACCTCTACGCTCATTCCATGGCATGTCTGCACTAACACATATACACGCAAAATGACTAAGTGTAATAAAAAATTTAAAGAAAAAAACTTTTCAGGGAAGACCAAGCTAGTTAATAAAAATAAGAATAATAATAATAAAGGAAACAAGAGCAACTTTCAACTCCTAGCAAAAAAATAATATATTGCTCTGCTTCCCTGGGCCTGCAGGACCCTCCGGCAGGCCTCTCTTTTACCCGCAGGCCTCTCTCTGGGTTAAGTCCATTGCGCCCTCCGTGCCGTGACTTCCCCAGCCTCATTCACCCTCCCATCTCTGCCACCATTCTCTCCACCAAGTTTGGGCCCTTCCCCATTCCTTGTCTTGGGGCCCCAGACACCTGGGGAACCAATACTGCTTCCTGATCTTTTTCATCCAGACCAAGTAGTGCCTTCTCTGGGCCCCAGGAGCACTGCTTCTAGACCTGGCCCCGCCCTCACCTCCCTCTGCTTCCCTGGGCCTGTACCACCCCCCAGCCTCTTTCTGGGACGCTGGGACTGACCTTTCCTCCAGACCAACCCAGCTCCTCAGTGCAGTCCCCAGGAGGCCTTGGGGCCTCTTCCTGCCCCATCTGCCTTTGCATCTCTTGGTGGCATGGCCAACAGCTGCCTTAGACCAGCATCTTTCCTGAGCCCGGCTCCCAGGTTAGTCCAACCCCCAAATTCCTGAGGCCAAAATTGTTCCTGGAGGGATCCAGACCTTAGGAGAAAGCCTGAAAACATCTGACCCTCATCTGA